TGTTCAACGCTGGGGACAACATTTATCCCAACAGTTGTGGTACCTGTTCTATTTCATAGCACTGCATTTTCTGCACAGATTTCCACTTCATATGACCAATTTCCCCATCCACACTCTTACGCATCCTCGCTTATTCCAGCCTATTCGGGCTGCGTGATGCTTCCAATAGGTAACAAACTTCATCCGTAGTTTCCCATTTCGTAGATAAAGTTTTCCTATCACTTGGATACCTTATTTTAGAAACTTTCCATGTGTTGACATTTGGTTTACCAGGGCTGGACAGTTGATTAGTCATCCTCCCAGTCATCTCGCCTTGTGGTCGACTCTTGAAACTTATCACAACTATCAAGGCTTGTATGATTAAAAGAAAACTAAAATAATCCCATTTTCCCCTGAAAACGATTCACAAGACACCATGACTACAATTGATACTTCCATATGAAATATGGATGGCGCTTTTCATTGAAGCTTTATATATATAATTGTATGTGCATTTATGCCTGTATGTGTTTGGGTGAGTGAATATTTAAATCTAGTAGCATTTATTTGGGAGTGTGTCTGTTTATTTTTGTATGTGCCTGTGTTCGCTTGCAGAGTGGGGTTAATAGTGTACATTTTAGCAAAGCTTCAAAGTAACATGTCAATCCGACTAAACATTTTTTTGGTATATGATGGTCAATACATTTAGGTCGGGATACCAATCTTAAACTCCATACAACTATGTGCATTCACGACAAATGAAGACTCAACTTATATGTTCCTAGGTCGATGTGCTTTCCGAGTGATGTAGAACTCCATAAAACGATAGTGTAGACACACATTCACGCATGAAAACACATTTTCACTCTTCTCTCTGACAGATTTATCCATCAGAATTTCCTTCATGCGCCGTGGAATGTATGAGACGGCAGTTGATTCCTCAAAGCTTAGGGTGTCCACATACCAATAATGAACCTTCAATTAACAGGACGTTGTACAAATTGTTGACTTGTTTTGGGCTCTTCTCTGATACACTATCGAAGAAAAGTTGGGTTTCAAGAAATCTGTTGTTTCATAATTGTTGAGCTTATTTCCATTTCGAGTGAAAGTGTCGCGTGAAGAGATTCGACAGTCGGTTCCATCAGAAGACGACGGCGGATTCCTCTTGACCAGCCGTCGATCGGCTCTACTGGAACATTCATGCTGACGCTGTTTCCGAGGCAATCTTCTTCGATTTAAGCGAAAAGTCCTGAGCTTTCGTCCGTCATATGACGGACATCACACCAGATGTAAAGTATATATACCACTTTTTAGGGATTTGTCGGTGAGTTTTCTTGACTTGTAAGCTTGAATTTTGTTGTGACGATGTTACCTCGCTCTGATGATGTCCGT